GCTATATACTTGGAACTAAAAGGCCCCATATCTTCCTAATTCACCAAGACGAATCCACATCATGTAGCTTTTGTGTTTATTACCCATAAACCTAAATATTAAATACCATGTCCTCATGTAGTGTTTGTTTTAGTCACTCATAAACCTTGTTTGTGCCATAGTCCGTTCAAGTCCTTATGGGCATGTCATGTGCTATGTGATCCATCAATATTCTGTGTTAGGAAGCATGCTGTTTTTTCCTTTCTGGTCATTAAATTCTAGTTTCAACGGTAGAATGTTTTAAAGTATTTCTATTGACTAATATGCAGAAATTTAGGCTATACTTGAAGAGGTTAAGTGGAGTAGTTCAACAGCAGGGTGGCCTCCCCAGTACCTTCTGTGGGCCAATAGAGCAGAATTCAGAACTTGGTTCACTTGGAAGATTTGACATTCAAGCACTGGCAGCATCTGGCCAAATTCCTCCTGAAACTTTGACAGCTCTTCATGCTGAACTTTTAGGTAGATCGACAAGTAACTTGGTTTTACCAGCAGTAGAGCAACAGAATCTCGTACAAGTTTCCCTGCAGCAAGCAAAGTGCATACCTGTTGACCAAGTTATGGCTTATGGTCAGCCTCTGTTGAAATGCCCTGCCAGCATTTCTAATTCTAAACATCTTTCTCAAGCTATCTTGTCTGCTGAAGATGTTCATTCCGGATTTGGATCGCAGCGAGCAAAAAATATATGTATGGTCCCTAGCAGCAATCCCATTGCTCCGAACAGCAACATGTTAACGGCAATGATGCAACAGCAGCAATGGCAAAAGCAGCAGCAGATTGAACTGCAACATAGACAGTCTGGACCTCCTGAGGTCAACCGTTCAATTAATGTGCAACCTTCTTGCCTTGTATTGCCCTCTCAGTTACCAGGTCATTTCCAAGTGGGAGATAGTCCTGCTTCCATCAGCCGCGCCGGCAGTCTGAGTAAATCTTCGGTTATTGATTATGGAGTTCTGTCGCCACAATCAAATAATTCATCAGGTGTGGTTCAAGTGTTAGACAGGGAACTCAAACCAGAATGTGGCTTAAACAGGCTCCCCAGCGGAGGTTCTCTCTCTCGGTCATGCTCGATAAATGCTGACAATAGTGTTGATCTGCAGCTTCATAACTCGAGCTCAGCATTTGGTTCTTCTAAACAACTACCAGGCCTTATCCCAAGCCATTTGGGCTCACCGGTTCCATATTGTATTAACTCAAGCCTGGTTCTTGATCAAGGACGTATGAAAGGTGCCTCCATTCCCAGCCGTTTTGCAGTAGATGAGTCTGATTCGCCAATGTGCAACTTCAATACTGCAAAAATCTATCTTGAGGAAACTAAAGTTAAGCAGGAGCCTAACATGAATGTCATGGAAAATGCTAAAGTTGGTCCAGCGATTTTTCAAAAATTTCAACCGGGTGATCTTATGAGTGTCTTCAGTGACTAGGTAAAACAATTGGTCTTCTTATTTTTTAGTCTCTTCTGTTCCCATAAAGAGCCCCCATCCCCTCCGGCCTCACCCAAAAAGAAAGAAAACAAAGTGAATTACTTTAACGTGATTTGAGAATTAAGTAGTTATCTGTGGTTTGTTTTGTATTTACCTTGCCTGTTGTGACTTCCCTTTGGCTCTCTGAATGACTCCTGTCATGAATTGCTCCCCAGTATTCCTTTAAGAGACTGTTGATGTATCCAGTTTGGAAATCTATCCACCACATCTCTAGCAAAAGGACATCTAGCATATAGATGTTCTCTGTCTCATTACAGGTTTGATAGAAGCTACATTTGGATTCAAGCACCGTTCCCCATTTGAGTAGTCTGTCTGACAGTTACTAACCTTCCATGCACCAGTTACTAACTTCCCATGCTTTTGAAGCCATAGAGTGAATCTGGCTTTTGGTCTAGCAGGATTAGAAAATAAGAGGTACTCCCATGGAACTCTAAAGGTAGGGGCTAGGACCGTGTATATATTTGCCTTGTAAGGTTCATTCTATCATTAGAATCTCAATGCACCTGCTCCAATATTCTTCTGGACTCCAATACCTTCCTGAGCATCCAACAAGCTTGAGCTAGTGTTGAAATACTATCCCACTGTCTTTCTTCGATGTAGTAAGAAACAATGTACCCATTTAGTCCAGAGCTATCTATGTTGCTTGGACTTTCCAAAATTGTTGCATCACCCGTGTCGGATTCTCCAAAATGCACTACTTTTGTAGTATCTGACACGCACCCGTCAACATTTTTTAAGAGTCTGATCAACATAGGTCCAGAGTTGATCTTGCGTATGAGTAAGATCCCAACAGGTTTTAGCAATTGATGCCCTGTTCCACTCAGTAAAGATTTATCAGACTTAAACCATCAGTAAACATAGGAGAGCGTGACTTATCCCAGGCAACTAACGCTTTATTTAGCCTTGATCCCTTGGGGATAAAATCTTTGAGTTTTGTTATGATTATTATTATGTAATATGGTTTTGGATCTTGTGTCCACACATGCTTCTTTTCTTAATTTTAATAAATTGCTAATTTTAGGTTGATGTTACTGCAGGATTGTCGTTTGCCCGTGTGAAGGTCTCAAGTTCCCCATGAATCATAACATTTAGTTCTGCCATATAAGTTTGCAAGATCCCACTTTGAAGTCTTATATTATCTTATAGTTTCACGTATAGTGTGAATTGAAGAAATGTAGGTAAAGGCTATTTATTTGCCTGTGTATTTATCAATCTACTATTTTGGTAATGAGTGTGAATCGAGTATAATATAATACTCTTTGTAAGTATTTGGAGAAGATGTCACTGGGTATGTTGTTCTAAAATATCCCCTTGACGGTATCATCAAGATTTTGTGTTGTGTAGTATTGATAGTTGAGCTGTTGCAGATGAAAAGAATGTCAATTATAAAACTGACATTCATGCCAGTTGCCTAGACTCTACGTGTGGGATTACACTGGTTGTTACGATTTTGTTGAAATGCATAACAATTGTCTTTTTTCGTATATTTTACTTTTCATTGCTAGCTTCTTGTTAATTTCTTTTCATTATTATCTTGATTGTGAAAACATGGAAGTTAATTGCACCAGACTATATTTGCAGAAAGCTTAATATTATGATAGTGCTTTTGATTTGCTGTAATGTGAAAGATTTGAGTCTGCTGAGCTTCTTGTGACGGAAGCTTTATCTGACGTTTTATATAATCTTATTCATTAAATCTAGGAAAATAGTAGATAAATTGGTAGCTACTTGTATAAATTATCAATTGCAGAAAAATGCAAACATATTCAATGTAATTTTATAAATCGATTTGGGAGAGTGCAGCAAGTACATAACTTTATCCTTACGATAAGGTAAAGAGATTGTTTCTGATAGATTTTTTTCTGTATGAGTAAGCCCTCTAAAAAATTGGAGTATGTAAAAGCAAATACGGAAGTGTAGCAAAGTCTTGCTGAAAATAACTAAGAAGAGAACATGAATAGTCTTATTTATACTCTTTTTTAAAATCTATTTCCTCCGTTCAGAATCGTTTGTAATATTGTGTTTATTGAAAGTCAATTTAATTAATTTTCAAAGATAAATTAGATTACATTAATTTGATATTTTTTTTAAAAAAATAAATATTCTAAAACAATATGAAAAGTACAATAAATTATAATTTTTTGCATATTAATATGATGAAAAAAATACATCTTAAAATGTTAATCAACATTTTAATAGTTTAACTCTAAAAATAGAAACGATGACAACCAATACCAGACGGAGACGGAGGACGTATTTACTATATGGCAGAAGAGATTTTTTTGGTAGTATTTAAAGAGAGAGTATTTGACTTTCATTTAGCTTTTTTTTAAAAAAAAATTGGAGTAGTATGACTATACAACTATTTCACGGCCATAAAACGTTAAAAATTGAAATTAAAAATTGTCCAATAATAATAATACTTTTTTAAAAAAAAAACAGAGAAAACTAAAGAGTACTCCTCTGTTCGTCTTTATTTGTTATACTTGCATTTCTTAAAGTTAGTTTGATTGATTTTTAAAGTTAAATTATATTAGATTAATTTAATATTTTAAATAAAAATATTTAAATATTTAAAACTATACTAAAAATTATAATTTTTTATATAGTAATAATGAAAAATACATTATAAAATTTTTATAATTTAATTATTAAAAAAATCATAACAATTAAAAATGCACGATAAAAGTAGTAAATTGAAACTTGGCATTAAAGTTGGAAAGAAGCAAGGTGCATGCAGGGGAAATGGGACGGCTACCGAGTATCCAAGTTACTTAGTACTACATTTTACTTCCTTTCACACTTCCTATTATTTTTTTATTTTTTTAAATATTAAAGTAATAATAGTATATGTTGATAGTATTTTAACTATCGAATAATTACATATCTTATTTCAATATTTTAAATCTACATTTTAAGTAACTTCATGCGTACATGACTTGATAATTTGAAAAAATTATTTACATCGATAACATATAAAATTCAAACTCTTTTTATTTCTCTATTATGGTGATTTACTAGGTTTAACCGCACTAATATAAATTATATATAATAATTTTAAAAAATATAGTAATTTCAAAAGTAGAATTAATTGAATTGTATTTCTATAGCCTCATTTTACGCGGAAGTGTTACTGTTTGAAAAATCAAATTTTTTTTCTTTTTTTTTTCGTTAAATTTTAAAAATCATTAATTATGTTAATTTATTCTAGTAGACTAGCATTTTTGTTATGTAGTTTTTTTTTAATATATAAACTATATCATAATTAAAATTAAATAATTTAACTCACATATTCTGAACACCTCCGCATACAAATTCAAAATCTTAAATCCGCTCGCAAACATTCTCATCATGGAGAGTGATGGTGTTCTTTTCTTCCATTCAAAGTCTCATATTGTCTCACCTTAACATATATATATATATATATATATATATATATATAAACAACTACTCCCATTTCCACATCTCACATCATCTTCATTTCTATTTATTTTTTTCAACTACATAAATTCACAATTATTATTATTATTATTTTTGTCAAATTTAAGGAAAATAACCATGTTGGATTGGGGTCCAGTTTTGGTCTCAGTTATATTGTTCATCCTGTTATCTCCAGGATTGTTGTTTCAACTTCCAGGGCATAGGCATTGTGTTGAATTTGGAAATTTTCATACAAGTGGAGCTTCAATTATGATTCATACTTTGCTCTATTTTGCTCTTGTTTGTGTCTTCTTTCTGGCTGTTAAGGTTCATCTCTACCTTGGTTAAAAATTTGAATGTATTCATTTTGTTTGAGTTGTTATAACCTATTGTATTTTGTTGGTATTTGGTACTATACGTACGAACGATGGTTGTTTTGATTGTTATTTGAATATTATTATATTGTATTTGCTTGATGCATTGTTACGTAACAATGAGAAATGATATTTTATGTAACCGTTAATTTGATATGATCACATTGTTGACTTATCTTTTTCCTGTCTTGTAGTTATGTTTTATTTGATAATCGTATCTTACTTCTTATTTTTTATAATGACTCTATCTCGTATACCCTAATATCTTTTTTGCAATATTGAAGTTTATTCTTTAGACTGTTTGTTTGTGTGTATTATGAAATGACAGAAAATCAATTTATTTAAACATCATATGCTTTGAAGCAGTAAAATATATTATGAAATGATATATGTAAAAATTATCCAAACAATTTATCGATGATGTATTTCTTTTTCTAGCATAAATTAAAGACCAACACCAAATAGGGTCAAAGTGTAATGACTCGTTGTGTGGCTACATGATTTAAAATGCGAGGATTACAATCATTACAATCTGATAAAATTAGAACGATACAGAAAAGATTATAGCGTTTATCAAAGAACAATGCAACCCTTTATCAGTGTTGGCTAAGCTAGCTCGAAATATTTTTAATATGGTATGATATTATGCTCTTTTAGCCCCTTTTTGACAATGTTCCTCAAAATGCTTCACATTTTTTAAGTTTAGTTTTTCTATATTTTGAAGTACAGTTAAATTAATAATCATAGTCTGTTCGACTTCGACGCTCATTTACTTACATAATATAGCTATGCCTTCGTCTTTTTGAGAAGAGTCTAAATTGTATTATATTAACACCTTATACATGTAGAAATATTCGAAAGAATGTACAAGTATACAATTTTCTTCATTAATCAATTACACATAAAAGACATTTCAATCAAAATAGAATAATCAAAATTTCAACGTCGTCTGTACTTATTTTATTCTATATATTTGCTAGTATTATAATAATATGTACGAAACTAAGTGCTTTCGCACAGTATCCGATATTTCAACATAAATATTAAATACCGTATCGAATATCAATTTTTTCAAAAATGCATACGGCCAAATACCATAATACTAAACCCACGATATCAAAAATTCTAGATATGATATTCGATATCTACGATACCGTCCCCACCCCTAATATCATGGAATATAATTTGCTAAAATATACTTTTTAACAACGAAAACAACAAAATGCACATTAACAAAAAGTGAGCTTCAGAACTAATGTCCCAACATGTAGTACACAAAATAAAACTAGTGAGATAGCAGAGGTCTACATAATCAAAAGATGAAAACAACAAAAACTACATTACAAGAAACATGAAATGTCAAGGTCCTCTAGCCTTGAACAGCCTTGGCCAAGCCAAAAGCAGCAGCAGATGCAACTGCTCCGATAAGTGCAGTTTCGAAAGCACTCCTAAATGGCCTGTTTCCGGTGAAGTAGCCTTTAGCGAAGCCGAAGATTAGCAAGGCTAGTATAGTTACCACAACAGAGGCGACGACAGCCTGTCTTGCGATAGGAATGAGCATGTATGGAACCAGAGGAACAAATCCTCCCAAGATGTAAGCAATCGCGATGGTAAATGCACTCTGCAGCGCTCTCCTTGGATCCGGCTTCTCTAAACCAAGTTCAAATCTGACATTCAACAAAAAGTTCTTATTATAGCTAGGTCCGCGCCATTAGAAGCCAAGGTCAAAGTACTATTCATCATATTCACAATTATGACAGATGAATTTTTTATTGAAATTTACAATATCTAGCATTGAGACCACATTTTAGCTATGATTGATCGGATAAACCAGACAATGTGCACTTATGCGTCCTACTAACTCAATAAAGTTGAAGAACGGGACAGAAAGGGAGTCGTCGATCAGCTAAATACCAAAATTAAATGGAGGGACCAAAAAAGAAAAGCAAGAAACTATTCAAAGTGTTTGCTCCACTTTGAGTGGCCTGCCATTAAGTATAGGTCGTGATAAGGTTTCTAAAATCATGATTTCTTCTGTGGTCCAAATCGGACTCAAATGCTCTCTTCTTTTCCCTCGAGTCTTATATGGAACTACAACAGCTATGCCTCAATCCCGAGCAAGTCACCATCGATATAAATTCTCACTGTTCATATCACTCCATTTAAGTCCGTCTCAGTCCAATATTTTTCAAAAAAAAACTTGCTATAAGGCAGCAGAAATTAAAATCTCTAGTGTTCAGGTAGGGCTTCTTTTGTACATTCGAAACAGACTGCTGAAACACCAGTACCACATACTGCAATAAGAATCTAAAAACTCGAAATTTGACACTACTCATAAAATTTTAGCATGCATTTCTCATCTTTTTTCCATCTCTGAACCAATTATCAATTGGCTTTCCAGAGTTGAACATTGCATATACAGAACACGTATAAAAGTATGATATTAGAAAATCTCGACTTAGATGTATCATCAGAGAAAAAGATTAGATTATGATAGACTTACTTCATCATAAAGTCGAGCCATGCCTGTCGGTTCTTCCTCAAAGCATTCACCACCGGTGAATATTCATGGGGCTGAATCCCATACTCTGACAAAATTTCTGCAATCTCCGCTGCTTCTGCAATTTATACCAAGATACCACAAACTCTTCGTCAAACCAAGTAAACTTTGCCAAATTTGCAAGTTAGCACATTTTAAAACCAGCACAAAATAACTTTTTAATTTCTTGTAAGTAATAGTTCCCTCATAAAACTAGTTACCGCTATAATTCAATCAACATGTCATATATATATGTATCCACGCTTTCTTCCTCGTCTCCCACACCATCCGCATAAAAAATCTAGCCAGCGTATATTGAGAAGGACAGAGAAGTGAACGTTAATTCGGAAACGTAAATGTGTTTTAACAAAGCTATGCCACTCTTAATGTATGAACAGGGGATTCTTCTTTTCAATGGACTGTAAACAATAATGAAAAAACAACAAACAAGAAGTCGACAAAGCATAACACTATTGTCGATCAATCAGTGACGGACAGGCAGGGACACACATTGCTCCAAGTGGTGTCATCTGACATCGATTCACTAAACAATATCGTTAAATACTTATGCATACAATATCACTTGAAAAATAACACAAAAGTAATCCTTATTAAACCTCCATGACCTCGAATGTATACTCGTATATACAAGCTCAATTATGATGAAAACGTGACACGCTGTTTGAATGAAATCATGCGCGTGTCGTGAGAATTGAGAAGTTATACCCGTATCTGGTACAGAGATGATCTCTTCTTCCTCTCTTTTCAGCTCTCTCATATAGTGATCAGCCTCACTCTTTGCAGCCAAATAACTGTAAAGCGAATAGATCAATTATTAATTATAATTACTACTCCTAACAGATTCATTATAATAAAAATAATCACAAATCTCACATTCTATGAACTTCAATCTGTACTTTAAACCATTTATGCAAAACACACATAGTTGAGTTCACACAGGTAGAATTCAAATCATTGGCGGAGACAGGATTTTCATCGACGATAGTCAAATTATAAAAGAGTAACATCACACAAAATAAAAATAAAAAAAATGACTTAGTATATACTATATACATTTATACAAACAAACAAAAAAAGTTATCCACTTTACACAATGTAATTTTTCAGTGATTTGAACAAAGGTGTCTCTGCCACTGATTTACGTCAAATATTTTCGATACAAATATATGTAAATGAGATAAAAAATACTTTTTTTTTAACGTACACATTCAATGTAATCGCACAAATGAAGTCTGAAAATGGTAAGATGCATGCATATGTTAAAGAGACGGTTCCGATAAACCTCAAAAGTAAATTTTAAATTCTAAACTCATATTCAAAAGTACAATAAATTTCATAACCAAAATATATATATATATATATATATATATATATATCATGTTTACATTTTGAATTCGCCCTGGTTTCATTAGTAATATTTTCCAATTTTAATATCGAAATTTATCGAAAATAATTTCTCTATTTCTACTCCGATACGAGTGCTTGTAAATAAAAAATATAACAAAAATACCCTCCAAGTCCCATGGAAATAGCACCAGCAGCAACTTCAGCAATTCCAGCGGTAAGAATAATGGAAGATGACGCATTTGCCCCTGATAAACCCGCCGCCAATGCAAACGGCACCGTCAGTCCATCTGAAACTCCGATTATTATATCCCGGACAATCTCGCCGGCGGTGAAATGCTTTTCCTTGTGTTGATCCAATAACGATTGCTCCGATTCACCAGCCATATCTCAATTTCTCTACTAATACAAAAATTATAATCTTAAAAATAAAAATAATTTTTTTGTTTCTCTTCTTCTGTTATATATATATATTTTTTGAGTTTGTGTGTAGTGTTCTTATAGAGAAAATGGAAGATGATTTTTGTATTTTGGATTTTTATGGAAGCAGGTAAAGTTCTGAGTATCTGTCAATAATATTCTGACTTTTATTTTTACTATATAATGGAACTGAAATTCCAGAGAAAAAGACATTTCTACATTCCATATAATAATACCAACATTTAATATTTTACTTTTAAAAGTTTATGATTATTTCAAAAAATCTTCTCGAAATATTTCTTTATAATACTTAATTTTAAATTTATTTAAAATAAATATAAATTAATTGTAATTTGATGAATTTGTCTCTTCTGAATGAGCCTCTACTATTATCCCAAAAATTTAATATTATTAAATGGAGAATAAAGAATTTTAAAAGTATCACCAATGAATATAGTGGAAGCATATCCTCTGACTTAATTAGAGATTTTAAATTAGAACTTTAAATTTAAAAAGTTTTTAAAATTAAATATTATATTTCTTGAGGCCCTATATCGTGATATAAATTTAAATTAATTAGAATCTCATAGCGATGTCAAATATGGAATGAAAAAATAATTTAAAAAAAGTATATGAATATTTTCCAAACATTTCATGTGATATTTCCACCTAAAGTTTAATTTTAATTCCATATATTTGGATGGTCATTGACGTTTCATGATGTGTGTGATATTATGTTAGTGTATTTTTTTAAGGGATCATTTAATACAAATTAGTAATATAAAATAAATATAATAGTTATTGTTTAATTTATTTGTGTTTTATAGTAAATTGTTGTCAATCTCTCTCTTCCTCATATTTTGTTCGCTTATTCTTGTCGCTCGCCTCTTTCGCTTG